ACTGGTTTGGACTGGTTTGGACTGGTTTGGTCAAACCCAGCCAGGACGGCGTGCCCGTGGCACAGGTGGGACTGGTTTGTACTGGGATATACTGGTTTGTACTGGGATATACTGGGATGGACTGGTTTGGACTGGGATGTGCTGGTTTATACTGGGTTATACTGGTTTGTACTGGTTTGGACTGGTTTGGACTGGTTTGTACTGGGATATACTGGTTTGGACTGGGTTGGACTGGTTTGTACTGGTTTGTACTGGTTTGTACTGGTTTGGACTGCTTTGGACTGGTTTGGACTGGTTTGGACTGGTTTGGACTGGGATGTGCTGGTTTGTACTGGGTTATATTGGTTTGTACTGGTTTGGACTGGTTTGTACTGGGTTATACTGGTTTGGACTGGTTTGTACTGGTTTATACTGGTTTGGGCTGGTTTGGACTGGTTTGGACTGGTTTGGACTGGGTTATACTGGTTTCGACTGGGATGTACTGGTTTGGACTGGTTTATACTGGTTTGTACTGGTTTGGACTGGGTTATACTGGTTATACTGGTTTGTACTGGTTTGTACTGGTTATACTGGTTTATACTGGTTTATACTGGTTTGTACTGGTTTGGGGTTTTTCATTACTGGTTTATACTGGTTTGTACTGGTTTGTACTGGTCTGTACCGGTATTGGGTTTTTCCTTACTGGGAGGGGCGGTGGGCGTGTCCTCACCGCGGCCCCTCCCCCCAGCGTGACGTCATCGGTGACGCCTCGGAGTCGGCGCTGCTGAAGTTCGCGGAAGTGACGTCGGGGTCGGTGGCGGCCGCCAGGGGGCCGGTATTGGGTTTTTCCTTACTGGGAGGGGCGGTGGGCGTGTCCTCACCGCGGCCCCTCCCCCCAGCGTGACGTCATCGGTGACGCCTCGGAGTCGGCGCTGCTGAAGTTCGCGGAAGTGACGTCGGGGTCGGTGGCGGCCGCCAGGGGGCGCTACCCGAAGGTGGCGGAGCTGCCGTTCAACTCGAGCAACAAATTCCAGGTGAGACCCGCAGGTGGGACCGGACAGGTGAGACAGGTGAGGCCCGACAGGTGAGACAGGTGAGAGACTGACAGGTGAGAGACAGGTGAGACTGACAGGTGGGACAGGTGAGAGACAGACAGGTGAGACTGACAGGTGAGACAGACAGGTGAGACAGGTGAGAGACAGACAGGTTACTGGTTTATACTGGTTTGTACTGGTTTGTACTGGTCTGTACCGGTATTGGGTTTTTCCTTACTGGGAGGGGCGGTGGGCGTGTCCTCACCGCGGCCCCTCCCCCCAGCGTGACGTCATCGGTGACGCCTCGGAGTCGGCGCTGCTGAAGTTCGCGGAAGTGACGTCGGGGTCGGTGGCGGCCGCCAGGGGGCGCTACCCGAAGGTGGCGGAGCTGCCGTTCAACTCGAGCAACAAATTCCAGGTGAGCCCGACAGGTGGGACCGGACAGGTGAGACTGACAGGTGAGACTGACAGGTGAGACAGGTGAGAGACCCACAGGTGAGCCCCGGACAGGTGAGAGACAGACAGGTGAGAGACAGACAGGTGAGAGACCGACAGGTGAGAGACAGGTAAGACAGGTGAGAGACCCACAGGTGAGACTGACAGGTGAGACTGACAGGTGAGACAGGTGAGAGACCCACAGGTGAGACAGGTGAGAGACAGACAGGTGAGAGACCGACAGGTGAGAGACAGGTGAGACAGGTGAGAGACCCACAGGTGAGACAGGTGAGAGACCCACAGGTGAGACAGGTGAGACAGGTGAGACAGACAGGTGGGGCCGGACAAGTGAGATACAGACAAGTGGGACAGGTGAGATACAGACAGGTGGGACAGGTGAGACTGACAGGTGGGACAGGTGAGAGACCCACAGGTGAGACAGGTGAGCCCCGACAGGTGAGAGACCGACAGGTGAGACAGGTGGGACAGGTGAGATACAGACAGGTGGGACAGGTGAGACTGACAGGTGGGACAGGTGAGAGACCCACAGGTGAGACAGGTGAGCCCCGACAGGTGAGAGACCGACAGGTGAGACAGGTGGGACAGGTGAGATACAGACAGGTGAGCCCCGACAGGTGAGACTGACAGGTGAGAGACAGGTGAGATACAGACAGGTGAGACCAACAGGTGAGACAGGTGTGCTCAAAGCGCATCCTGGATGTACCCCAGGTGTACCCCAGGTGTCTCTCACCTGTCTCAGGTGTACCCCAGGTGTCAGTATCTCACCTGTATCTCACCTGTGTCTCACCTGTGCAGGTGTCGGTGCACGAGGCCGGCCCCCAGCAGCTCCTGGTGTATCTCAGGTGTATCTCACCTGTCTCAGGTGTATCCCAGGTGTCTGTAACCTGTCTCAGGTGTATCCCAGGTGTATCTCAGGTGTCTCTAACCTGTCTCAGGTGTGTCTCAGGTGTCTGTGTCTCACCTGTGCAGGTGTCGGTGCACGAGGCCGGCCCCCAGCAGCTCCTGGTGCTCAAGGGCGCCCCCGAGCGGGTCCCGCTGTGCCCCAGGTGTATCCCAGGTGTATCTCACCTGTCTCAGGTGTATCCCAGGTGTATCTCAGGTGTCTCTAACCTGTCTCAGGTGTGTCTCAGGTGTCTGTGTCTCACCTGTGCAGGTGTCGGTGCACGAGGCCGGCCCCCAGCAGCTCCTGGTGCTCAAGGGCGCCCCCGAGCGGGTCCTCGAGCGCTGCCGGGGGGCGCTGCGGGGGGGGGAGGAGCGGCCGCTGGACCCCGAGTGGAGGCGGAGCCTGGAGGGGGCGTGTCTGGAGCTGGGGGGGCGGGGCGAGAGGGTGCTCGGTGAGTGGGGGAGCGGCCGCTGGCCCGGGAGTGGAGGCGGAGCCTGGGGGGGGCGTGTCTGGAGCGGGGGGGGCGGGGCGAGAGGGTGCTCGGTGAGTGGGGGGTGTCGGTGCACGAGGCCGGCCCCCAGCAGCTCCTGGTGCTCAAGGGCCCCCCCGAGCGGGTCCTCGAGCGCTGCCGGGGGGCGCTGCGGGGGGGGGAGGAGCGGCCGCTGGACCCCGAGTGGAGGCGGAGCCTGGAGGGGGCGTGTCTGGAGCTGGGGGGGCGGGGCGAGAGGGTGCTCGGTGAGTGGGGGAGGGGCCGGGGGGTCTCACCTGCCCA